CATGCTTTGGGGCCATTATTAAGTAAATAAGGGTTACTTGAACACAAGCACTGTGACACTGCAACAGTTGATGTGATAACTGAGGCAGCTAGCTACTAAGTGACTAACGGGCAGGTAGCATACATAGTGTGACTATGCTGACAAAGGGATGATTTATGTCCTGGGCAGGACGAAGTGGGACAGTGCAAGATTTTATTACACTACTCAGAACGGCACGCAATTTAAAACTTGAATTGTTTATTCCTGGACTTTTCCATTGAATATCTTCAGGCTGTGGTTGACCACAGGTAACAAACTTTGGAAAGTGAAACCGTGGATAAGGGGGGACTACTGTATCTTAGCCACTGCTGCCTTAAGTGACAGAAAACAGTTGGGCAAACAATAGATTAATCAAAAAGCTTGGGAAGAAAGGCTGACAAACGAGATGCTCTCGCATTTCTGGATGTAGGTCACATACGTGCCCAGGGCTGTGAGCATGCTCAAAAAAGACCTGAGAGGGAACTAAGTTCTCACCTGCTGCTGAGCTTGAGGCCCTTTGCAAGCAGAAAGAGAAGGCTAAGGCAGAGCTGCAAACTGTCTTTCTGAGTATGGAAGGTGAGTCCCAACACATACACAGAGTCCATGGCAAAGACTGGAAGAATTTTCGGCTCCAAGCATTTAAGAAAATCTCTGTCTAATTATTAGATGATCGCTAAGCTAATCAAACAGGGACTTCAGTGGCCATATATAACAAAAACCCCCAGAAAGTTTATAGAATTAGTTCATAAAAGTCACTAACAAACAAAAAAGTACAATAAGTCCAACATAACAACAAATCCTGGAAAGAGAAGAGAATCTGATTTCCAGAGATGCTAATTTATAATATTCACAATAGCCAGTCTTCAACAACAACAACAATTACAAGGCCTTCAAAGAAACAATATAGTATGGTCCATACAAAGGAAAAATAAATAAATAGAAACTGCCCGAGGAAGACCAGACAATGGACTTTCCAGACAAAAGTTTTAAATCAGCTATTTTAAATATGTCAACAAACTGAAGGAAATCATGTTTAAAGAACTAAAGGAAAGTATGAGAACAACGTGTTACGTAATTGAGAACATCTATAAACAGATAAAAATTCATAAAAGGAATAAAATAGAAATTCTGAGGTTGAAAAGTGTAATAAATGAAAATTTCACTAGAGGGGCTCGAGAGCAGATTTAAACAGGTAAAAGAAAGAATCAGCAAACTTAAAGGCAGATTCGTTGAGATGATCTGGTCTGAGGAACAGAAAGAAAAGAGAATGAAGAACAATAACCAAAACCTCAGAAGCCTGTGGGATACATCGAGCATATCAGCATATGCATAATGCAAGTGATGAGAAGGAGGAAAAGAGAGGAAGGATGAGTGATGGGGGAAAGAGAAAGAGAGAATATTTGAAGAAGGAAGGTCAAATATTTCTCAAATTTGAAGCTCAATGAACTCTAAAAGGATAAGATCAAAGAGATCCATAAATACATACATCATAATCAAACTGTCCAAAGCTAAAGACAAAGAGAGAATCTTGAAAAAAGGAAAGGGGAAGCAACTCATCATTTACAAGGGATCCTCAATAAGATTAACATCTGATTTCTAATCAGAAACAATGGAGGTCAGAAGGTAGTGGGATGATGTATTCAAAGTGCTGAAAGAAAAAAGTCAACCCAAAATTATTTATTAGGCAAAACTATGCTTCAAAAATGAAGGAGAAATCAAGACATTCCCAGATAAACAAAAAGTGAGAGCATTTGTTGCTAGCAGTCTGGGCCTATAACTGCTAAAGGAAGTCCTTCAGAATGAAATGAAGGGACGTTAGACAGTAACTCAATGGCATATGAAGGAATAAACACCAGGAAAGGTAAGTACACAGGTAAATATAAAAGACAATACAAATGTATTTTTTTTTGTAATTCCTTTTCTTTTTTTATCTCATTAAAAGACAGCTGTATAAAGCAATAATAACAAATCTAGGTTGACAGGCACAAATATATAAAGCTTTAATCTCTGACAATAATAGATTACAAGGGGGAAAGTTTTTGTACACTAGTGAAACTAAACTGGCATTAATCCTAACTAGATTATTATAAATTAAGATATTAATTATAATCCACAGAGAAACTACAAAACATATGTCTGCAGAAAGACTTGTATGTGAATATTCATAGCATCTTTATTTATGGCAGCCCAAAAGAAGAATCAAACCAAATGTCCATTAGTTGATGAATGAATAAAGAGTATGAAATAGATCCATATAACGAAATATTATTCAGCCATAAGAGAAATGAAGTACTGTTAAATACAACAACATGGATAAACCTTGAAAATATTATGCTAAGCCAAACACAAAAGGCCACATATTCCATGATTCAAATTACATGAAATGTCTAGAATAGGAAATCCATAGAGACAAAAAGTAGGTTAGTGGTTGTCAGGGAAGGGAAGAGTAGAGAATCGGAGTAACTGCTAACAAGTGAAGGTTGTTTATTTTTTTGGTGTGAGGAAACTTCTCAAATTAGAAAGCAGTGATGGTTGCACAACATGGTCAATACACTAAAGCCACTGAAGTGTGCACTCTTAAATGATGAATTTTATGTTATGTGAAGTACATCTCAATAAAAATGCTATAAAAAGCCTATAGCATATGTCATACTTAATAGTGAAATGATAAAAATTTAATAAATAAGGTTAATGATGAAATAAAAAATTCCAATGATTAAAGCTTTTACTGAGATTGGAAATGAAACAAGGATACTTATTACCATCACTTCTAGTATATGTGTATGGGGTTCTTTATCAGCACAAAAGAAAAAAAGTATATAATATTCAGAGAAATTATTAGAATTTAAAAAATTTAGCAAGGTTGCTGGATACAAGGTCATTATACAAAAAACAACTGTATTTCTATATATCAAATGTAATTAGGAAGTGAAATTTAAGAAACAATATCACATACAATATTATCTAAAAACACTAAGTACCCAGAAAATACCCAGTACAAGAAAAAATGTGCAATACACACAAAAAAGCTGCAACGCATTATTTAAAACAAATTTTTGAAAGAATGGATTTATTCATGGGTTGTACAGTCAATGCTGTCTGGATGGCAATTCTTCCAAAATTGATCTGCATATTCAATGTAATCCTATTTGAATATCTCAGTTGAATAATTTGTGGAAAATGACAAGATACTTTTAAAATTTATATGAAAATGTAAAGTGCAATCTTAGAGAAGGAAAACAAAGCTGGAAAATTACTGTACCAGATACCTATTAAGAAGCTACGGTAATTAAGATCATGTGGCATCAGCACAAGGATGGACAAGTAGATTAAGGAAACCAAGCAGAAAGTCTGAAAACAGACCCACACAGTTATGGACACTTGTTTCATGATAAAGGTGGCATTTTTAGAACTGTAGGAAGCAGTCTTTTCACTAATTGGTCTTGGGCCAATTGGTCTGGAAACCTTTTGAAAAAAAAATTAAACTTGATCATTACTTCACACCAAACACAAAAATCAATTCTAGGGGATTACTGATCTAAATGTAAAAAGTAGAATATTAAAGCTTCCAGAAGGATTTGGAAATATCTTTAGGACTTTGAGGTGGGAAAATATTTCTTGAACACAACACAAAAAACACCAAATAAGGGAAAGGAAAAGATGGATGATTAAAATTAGTAACTCTGGACACCATTAAGAGAGTGAAAAGGCAAGCCAGAGTGGGAGAAAATATGTGCCAAAGACTCATTTCTGAAATATATAAAGAATTCTTTACAAATCAGTATGAAAAAACACAGGCAACACAATAAAAACAAGCTTGAAAAGGCACTTCACGTAGGAGGATATCAGTGTCCAATAAACATAGGAAAAGGGGTTCAATCTTATTCACCAAAGAATACGAAAATTAAACCATACGCAGATATCCCCACACACCTACCAGAATGGTCAAAATACAGAAGACTTGACCGAGTGTTGGCAAAGATATAGAGTAACCGGAATTTTCAAATCCTGCTACTACAGTATAAATTGATGCAAACATTAAAAAAAAAAAAGAACTGTTTAGAAATACTTACTGAAGTTGACCCTGCAACTTAACTCCAGAAAAATAAATTTACACATATGTGTACTAAAAGTACAATAATGTTCACAGGAAAATTACTCATTATAGCTGAAAACTGGAAACAACACACATCTCCAACAAAAATAAATTATGCCGTATTTCTAAATGGACTGTTATATAGCAATGGAAATGAACAAACTGTTACACACAATAATGGACAAATCTCACAAATATAATATTGAATAGAGGAAAGCAGATGCAAAAGAGTACATATGGGATGTGCTACAGACTGAACATTTATGTGCCCCAACCCCCCACCCAAACCCATATGTTGAAATCCTAACCCCCAATGCGATGGTATTAGGAGGTGGGGGCCTTTGGGAGATGATTAGATCACAAGGGTGGAGCCCTCAAAAATGGGATTAGTCAGCTTTTAAAAGAGACCCCAGAGAGCTCTCTCACCTCTTCCGCCATGTGAGGACACAGCAAGAAGGCTGCTGTCTATGAACTAGGAGGAAGGCCCTCATCAGACATCACATCTGCTGGCATCTTGATCTTGGATTTGCCAATAATCAGAAGTGTGAGAAATAAATGTTTGTTTAAGCCACCCACCATATTACATTTTTGTTATAGCAGCCCGAAGGCACTAAGACAGGACGATTCCATTTATAAACCTCAAATAGCAGGTAAAACTAATCTACGGTGTTAGAAGTCAGGATAATCTTTATCCTTGTGGAAGAAAAGAAAGGGAGTAACCAAGAGCAAGCATGAATGAGGCTTCTGGACGTTGGCAACGTTCTATTTCTTGATCTTGGCAATGGTTAACTTGGTTCACTTTATGACAGTTCACTGAGCGGTATACTTTATGCACTTTTCTGTATGTATTTTACTCAATCAGACACATTTTTTAAAGTTTATTTACCTGTTTTTTCTGTGATCTGTTCCTGTTTTCCAGCCAATCATCCATTTGTTCCTCAATTTCTTCTATAGAAGTTCCATGATCATAAGACTGAATATAGGCACTTTCTAAAGGCGTATATACAGGAAATTCAGGTTTTGGTTTTTTTACTTTAACTTTCTTCTGCTCTAAAAAATGTTTAAAAGAACCAATTAATAAAAGAATAAAGAGAATTTCTAAAATTTTATTCATAGACCATATCTTGAAAGAACACATAAATATTGTTCTTTCATCAAAATAGAATTGCTTTGCTATAAATAGTTAGCTGCTAAGTTTTATTGTGCATTATCCACTGCATTTTTTTTTAAGATTGGCACCTGAGCGAACATGTGTTGCCAATCTTCCTTTTTCTTCTTCTTCTCCATAAAGCCCCCAGTACATAGTTGTATATTCTAGTTGTAGGTCCTTCTGGTTGTACTATGTGGGACACCACCTCAGCATGGCTTGATGAGCAGTGCTAGGTCCACACCTGGGATCTGAACTGGGAAAACCCTGGGCTGCCGAAGCAGAGAGTGTGAATCTAACCACTCGGCCACAGAGCCAGCCCCCCCACTGCATCGTTTTTAAATAAAACTCATGATCAGATGATGATTATGATAAAACCACCATATCAGTTTGTATACATCTTTAGTTTTCAAAGTATTTTTTATGAAACATTTCATTCTGGCACAATGGAAACAGCCTGGTCATTAGCGTTTCAATCTTACCCTTACAATCTAATAGTTAAATAATATTGGGCAAGTAACTCAGCCCTGAGAACAAACGTCCATTTTCTCATTTGTAAAAGAGAGCTAAATCTAACCTTATAAAGTTGACATGAGGAAAATTATATATCCCCTAACATACTACTTGGCACAAAATTGGCTCTTAATAAATGGTATATATTCATCTTTTCAATATTTGACAAAGGCAAAACGTAATCTGGCAGCATCAGAGGTTGTTATCAATAGATGACTATCAAGTGGCCTCTTCATTAAATCCTATTTTGATTAGAGAGTTAACATTGAGAAGCAACTCCATTCTTAATTACTATTGTCAACCCACCATCCCAGCCTTATAACCACATCTTTATCATCCTGTCTGTGTGTGGGTGTTTGCAAATACTATAATGCCAGTGTAATAAAATTATGATATTGGCATATGAATAGGCAAATTCCCAGAAGAGAATAGAGAATCCATAAATGTTTCAATTCAGTGGGAAAAGGAGTTAATACATGATGCTGGCACAACTGGCTATCCATTTGAAAGAAAACTGGACAAAATCTTACACCATTTACAATAAATCTTGGTCAGATAAGATATTTGACCCTAAAAAGCAAAAGAATAAAAATCATGTAAAATGAAATCTAAAAAACTACCTGTACAATTTAAAGGATGAGGAAATCTTATCTGAGACTGAAAACCCAGATGCTATTAAAAAAAGATAAAAGATAGAATAAACAAATGAAGAGAGAAATAACAGATTTGGACAGAACGTCTACAATTCAGAGTACAAACAGAAGACTGATACGTAGAATACATAAAGAGATTTTATAAATTGACAAGAGGATAAGCAGCCCAATAGAAAAAAATGGTCAAAAATAATGTACAAACTTCAAGAAATCAATTGATATTCTTTGTTGCCAATGACAATACTTGAACTTTCAGGTGAAAATCAGAATTTTGCAAAACTTTATCTGCCACAGTGGGCTTTAAAACTTCTTTCTTATGATGACATTGGTAGTGATATTAACAAATGTAATTTTTGATAGCATATCAACATTAAGGAGAGCTGCTTAATTCAGTGTACTAAAATTTTCCAAGTGACCAATGTATAATTTAACAAAATTACACATGGGTAAAAGATCCATTCAAAGTGCAAAATAGGCCAATAAATTTTAAAGTAATTAGTGTAAGAAAAACTCATTGATATGGCTTCAGATTTTGCTTTGCAACTCATCTTCAAAAAACTATTACTTTTCAAGTTCTGACGTACTGGCAAAAAATAATCCACAGTTGCCTGTAAAGGCTAATAAAGTATTGCACCCTTTTCTAACTGCAAGTCTATGTGAGGCTGAATTTTCTTCATATGCTTCAATCAAAACAGCCTATTGCAACAGATTGAGCACAGAAATACATATGAGAATTGAGCTGTGTTCTAATAAGCAAGACATTAAAGGGATTCGTGAAATGTAAAAAAAAAATAATAAATAATGTACATTAAGAGTATAGTGCTGTGGGAACAGTTCTAGTTAAAAAGGACATTACCCTAACTAGAAAATAAATGGTCTCTATATTTACCTTATATATTACCATACATAATATATATTAGTAATATATATTACGATATTTCACCTTATATTGTTCAAGATCTTTACACTTTCAGGCTTTTGAGATGGTGACTTGGGGAAAAAACCCTGATACCATAGTGGAAATTAGTAACTTAAATGATGTGAGTATAATATAAAGTTATCAGAAATCTAATACAGCGTGACCATAAGCCCAAATAGGAGGCCAGGTTTTTGTTTTTCAAAACTACTTTTCAGAAAAGAGGAAGAAGTCATATAACTGACTCCTTATCAAGTCTGTCACATTACTCAGCTCCTCTCAATTTGTTTTGAATAATAAAGCACTGCTAAGGGAAAACACACATTAGCCAGAAACCATCTCATCAGTACTAATTTTTGCTGTTTATAGAAACTCAGTTATAAACAAGAAGCAAATAAATCTGGTTGTTTGTATTTATTTCTGGGATGTTTCATCACATTTAGGTGTTTGATGTCTTTTTAAATAAGCATTTTAAAAATCACTTAAAAAAAGTAATACAAAGCTTCCACTTCTGGAAAAATGGAGTAGAAGTACTTTTCCATAGTTCTCTCACTAAGAAAAACTGAAAATCCTAAATGTTATATATGAAACAAACACAAGAAGAATCTGGATCTCGGAGAGAAGGAGACAGACCAGCTAGGTATGGCAGGATCCAATGAACAACCAAGGTGGTAAGTTCTCTGGGTTTTCTTGTGGCCTCATATATCCCAAACTAGGTGCTAGAGAAGCCGCTAACTCAGAAACACTAACAGGCACAGACACACAATAACAACAACAACAAAACAAACAACTTCTTTCTCCAGCCAAGGGACCAGAAAAGCGACAGAACAGAAAGACAAAATTTTTAGATAACAACTGATCTACTTTAGGCAATCAAGACAGAAAAAACTGTGACCACACTCCTCTCCCATGTCAGTGAAAGCTAATGGGAATCCTAGCCTTCTGCCATTGTAAGGCTGTAATGAGGCACTCCAATCTTCCCACCAGGGTGATATGGGAGAAGGCTGCATAGGAAGCCAGACTTTCATCCCTACTAAGAGGTAATGAGGATCCTCCTTCCCCTGTGAGGTCAGGAGAGAGCAAGTGGGAGCCTGGATTTCCACATCGACCCAGAGATAATGAGGTGTCCCTCTTTGTCCCTGCCAGGGTGGTTTTGAAGGAAGCCTAGAGGACAGTCAGGGCTTTCACAAGTGCCCAGCACTAATGAGGCATCTCTCTACAGTAACAGTAGAGGCCAGGTGGGGCGTATAAATAGGCATTCTTGCTTATCACAGCCAGGGTCTTATTAGTGGAGGCCTACTGGCAAGCAGGAACACCCACACCCACCCAACCCAGAGAGGATTCCCAGCCACCTTCCCCCTCAGCTGTAATACAGGTCATGAAGGGAACCTGGACTTCTACCCCCACCTGACCATAACTAGACAGTGACACTCCCCTTTCACTGCTAAAGCTTTGTCAGAGAACATCACGTAAAACAGAAGATTTAAATAAGATCCAGAGTCTTATAACATAATACCCTAATGTCCAAGTTTTAATAAAAAATCACTCACCATACCAAGAACATCTCAATTTGAATGAAAAAGATAATCAACAGACGCCAACAAGATGAAAGAGATATCCAAATCATCTGACTAGGATTTTAAAGCAGCCATATAAAAATGGTTTGACACGCAATAATAAACATTCTTAAAGCAAATGAAGAAATAAAGTAAAGAGCAAAGAAACAGAAGATATACAGAAGAACCAAATGAAAGTATCAGAACTGAAAAGTATAATAGCTAAAATTAAAAACCTAATGAATGAGGGCTCAACAGAAAAAGGGAGCAGACAGGGAAAAGAATCTGTGCAGGTAAAAACAGAATCAGAATTTGCCCAATCTGGAAACACAGAGAAAACAGATTGAAAAAAAAGATGATCAGAGCCGTGGGGACTTTGGGAACTATAACAAAAGATCTACCATATATGTCATATATGTCACAAAATTCCTAAAAGAGAAAAAGAGGGTAGGGCTGAAAGAGTATTCAAAGAAATAATGCCTGAAAGCTTGCCAAAGTTGGCAAAAGACATAAACCTATACATTCAAGAAGCTGAGTGAATCCCAAACAAGATAAATCCCAAGACTTCCATGCCAAGATTGTCAGAGTCAAACTTTTGAAAAATAAAGAAGAAAAATATCTTAAAAGTAGCAAGAGAAACATGAGACCTTACCTGTAGTGGAAAAACAATTCAAATTACAGTATATTTTGCATCAAAAAACAGGTAGACCAAAAGGAAGTGGCACAACATTTTTCAAGTGCTGAAAGAAAAGAACTGTCAACTCAAACTTCTATATCCAGTAAAAGTATCCTTCAGGAATAAAAGGGAAACCAAGACATCTGCAGATGAAGAAATACTAAGAGAATTTGTTACCAGCAGACCTATCTGGTAATAATGGCTACAGGATGTTCTCTAAACAGAGAGGAAATCATAAAAGGAAAAAATCTTAAAACAATGGGAAGAAAGAAAGAACAAGAGAAAGAGTAAAAATATGAGTAAATACAATAGATTTTCCAGCTCCTCTTGAGTTTTCTAAGTTACGTTTGACAGCTGAATCAAAATTATAACATTCAATGTATGTAGAGAAAATCTTGAAGACAACTATAACTGGGAGAGGTAAAGGGATGTGAAGGGAGGTAATGTTTCTATACATCACTTGAAATGGTATGTTGTTAACACCAGTAGATTGTGATATGTTATGTATATGTAACATAATACCTAAAGCCTGATGAAAAAAGCTATACAAAGTGATATACTAAACAAACTACAATAGATAAACCCAAAT